ATCGAACCAAACCAAAGACAGTAAAGAAACAGGGATAACCAAAAGATAAATATTCCAAAGAATAAAACAATAATTTTTAAGATTGAAAGTATGTACTGCCAGTGAGAGGGCTCTTTCTAAGCAAATGATTATGTGAATTAATTGTTAATCCAAAATCATTGTGTCAGTCCCTGAAAATTAGAAAAATGATATGCCTTTATCTACAGAGGGTTTTTTTTGGGGGGAGGTGTCAATAGTTGTAAGCTAATAGAGTTTAAAACGTCCAATCGATATTTTATTTTTTATTCTATGTGTATCAGTGTCTTGCCTGCATGTAAACCCTGTACGTTTAGAGGGGGCACTGAATCCCCTAGAATTGGAGTAATTAGGCAGTTGAGCTGCCATGCAGGTGCTTGGAATAAAGCTTAGACCCTCTGCAAAAGTATCAAGTGTTTTCAATGGCTGAGCCATCTCGGCATTGATATTTTAAAGAAAAATAAAAACGTCAAATCTAATTTAGAGTAAGAAAACTAGAATAAATGAGTGAGTGAGTGAGTGAGTGAGTGAGTGAGTGAGTGAGTGAGTGAGAATGAGGAGGCAGGTACACACACTGATTAGGATTTAGGGTCAAGCACCAGCTCCAGACTCAGCTGCTGGCTGCAGAACATTGAACAACCTCTTCCGATCCCTGTTTCTTTATCTCTAAACTGATGATGACAGCAGTATCAACCTCTGCTCATTCAGTGATATACACACAGAGAACCACAATATATACACAGACATACATACACACACATACACTCACAGATCCACAAGGTACACGCATAGACACACAGAGAAATAGGCACACAAGACAGAGATTCACAAGATCCGCACAGAGACACACAACAGACAAACACAGACATGAACACACACACACAAACACATACCATCAGACGTTTCTACTATTGCATTCCTCCAGACCCCCTAAATAGCCAGTATTTCAAATGCTGGATGAGTAATTTCAAAGTATAAATAAAGATGTGGTCCTAGTCACTTCACTTCATGAAAGTATGATTTTAATACAAACCATAACAGTGCTACCACAGAAAATCCAAATTCTTTAGGAGCATATGTGTATACATATATAATTTCAATGTGAGCACATGAAATCCAGCATTGTAATAAAAATGAAACACCAGAATCAAGTGGGTCATGTCCCAGGAAGACGTGAGTGCTTCAGCATTAGAAAACCAACCATCTACCTTGGCACACTGGGAGGCAATTGATGATGTGTTGACCCAAAAAATGTAGTTATTAGCCTAAGGAAATAAGACTCAGCCAAAGACTGTGCTCCAGGTTATTTGAGGTAACGTTATTAAATTCCTGAGCAATCCAAATACCCAAACTGGAGGGATACTCAAATATACTTGGGTTATACTGCGCTTCAACAAATAGATTTTGCTTAAGTGACGCACAGGAATAAACGATAGACTATCCTATAGGAAGAACTTTGATGAAATCGTAAAACTATGCTTCATTGATTATTTCATAAAATATATTTATGATATTCATTAAACATAGAGAACATTAAAATAATATGTACAGTGTACAGAAGCTGTACATTGTAACATATGCCTTTATGTATATGTGTGGACTCTATACATAAGACTTGTATAAATATGCAACTATGCAAAGACAGATACACAGCTGTCCCCTTGCTGATGTAAAAATATTGCAGTGAGTAGTCTTCTACATTTGCCGCTTTGTGCAAATGTGAAGACGAAACCACCATCATGTTTTGATTCCTTTTAAGCATATTAATCTGCATGAGAAAATGACACACACACCAATTATTCATTGCAATATTGTTTAAGTGTGTGTGAGAGAGAGAGTGAGCATTCACAGCCCTTTGTGAAGCAAGGGAAATAAGAGGAAATGGAACAAAATGTCACAGTGGTTATTTTAGGGCAGTTTAATTTTCATTTCTGTACTTCATTTGAAAGGCGATTCCTTAATGCCAGCACAGACTATAAAAGAGCAAATATTAAAAAAAAATACTTTCAGTGAGTCTTAAACAAGGAGCAAAACGCCAAATGTATCTCAAGTCAAGTCATTTAGCTGATTTTGATGTCATCTTTTACTGATGCAGTAAAGATTACAGTTTGGGGAGTTTCATATAGTGTCTGCCTATGACAGGCCAATAGTATAAATTCATTTGACTCCACTCCCTAGTCGATATCGTTTTAAGGATTAGTCAAGAAAATAGATGCATGTGAGAATAAACGGACCTAGAGGACATTATGTTAAGTGAAATATGTCAGCTGAGAAAGACAGATTACAGTGTGTTCTTCCTGTGTGCGGATGCCAAAACAGTTGATCTGAATATGGAATAGTGATTTCTAGAAGCTGGGAAGTATGTGGGGGAGCAAGTCAAGCAAAAAGAAGCTGGTTAAGTTCTGGGGCTCCACATCACAGGTGGGGGTGGCGAGTGCCGTGCTCAAGGCCTGTTCTGTATTTTATGACTAAGTGGAAGAGATGAACCTAAAGCTCTCAGACATAAAACAGCGACATGGACATGCTAATTAATCTGGTTTGGTCAGTTCACGTTGTATATGCATCTTTAAATAGTATACGGTGCGCCCAACTAAGTACAGTAATTAATTAAAATTACAGAAAGAGGGACTGAACGAGCACGTGATCCAACCAGATTCTCTGAATGTGGCCGGGTTCTCTGAATGTGACTGGCACGGGGTCTCTCTGAAAAGCCATTGACAATGACACTGGGACTTGTTTCCTCTGCATATACTGGATTTTTGGGATCCAGTCTGTTTGAATGCTCACCTTCCTGGACCTGGAGGGAGAGGGGAGGAACTTGAACTTCCCAAAGGGCAGGAAAGCCTGACTGCTGTTAGGGATGGAGAGAGAGGAGGAGAGGGAGTGGGGGGAGTGGGAGGGTGTTGGGAGGAGGAGCGGAAATGGAAACTTTTATAAATTAATAAACTTTTATAAATTTTAAAAAAATTACAGAACGAATTTAAAAATAAAAAAAAATGACCTGAATTTAACACAAGTCATGAAGTGTATCTGGCTATGAGAAATGAGTCCCTAAATCTCAGGTATCCAGCGCCCTCCCTCCTATCACAGGGACTCTAAGATGGAAGATTCAAAATGTCACCAACTGCCACTCCATCCATCCAATCTGGACTCTATTCCTTGATATTGGTACATGGATTTAAAATGAGAAAATAAACCACACAAGCAAAGAAAGAACAAAAGTTGACCCCTTCTCTGTCCCCTCGCCATTTTGATAAGGTTTTTCATTATGTAGCCCAGGCTGGCCTCAAACCCTCCCCACCTGCCTCAGCCTCCTGAATTCTAACCTCACGGAATCCCCATACAGTCCTCTCTACTCTCTCTCTCTCCTCCCCGCCTCAACTCTCTCCTCCCCTTCTTCCTTTGTCCTCCCCCCCTTTTTTCTAACATATGAAGAGGAATTTTATCTCATTGCTTAAATTCAGGTTTAATGCAGAATGAATTCAACTTTTGACATAGTTTCTTTTCTGGCTGTAACTTGGTCTTTCTCATGAAGGGTCACTATGAAGAACACTAGCCTGCTGCCCAAGCCCCCGCCCTAACTGAATAATCAGTAGGTCTATTTGAAGGATCCAGATTCAACAGAGGAACTAAGCAATCACTGAACCATTCTGGAATTGTGGTGTGTTAGGAGGAAAGAGGACAATTTGTCTTAGAAATAGCAGAAGAGAAACCATTGTTAAAAAAAAAATAACTTATGGGCCTGGATCCAGGAGATTATTGTAGAAGACTTTGAGTTTTATTGGTTATGGAGGATGAAAGAGAATTGCTAAGATGACTGACATTGGGAATTCCAAGCTCATGGGACATCAGTGTCATGGGCTGGAACTTGCGCTTTGGAGAATAAGATTACAAAGTCACTTTGGGAAGGGAAGAGGTTTCAAGGAGCTAGAAGGGGTACATGTGTAGTTGAAGATCTATCCCTCAGGCTGCACATGCTGATTTGGAAGTGATCCTTTTAGGGAAGAAGGTGGAAGTTATAAACCAAAGCCTGAGTCTTCATGAAGACACCTGAGCCCAGCAGAGCCCCTGATATCCAGAAAGAAGGAAAGGGAAAAGAGTGAAGAATCTAGAGGATGAGGCCAGGGGTAGGAAAGACATTTTCAATAAGATGCACAGAGATGGAGGCCATCACCCCAGCTCTGCAAAGACAGGAGGGCTATGATGCATAATTCAGGGAAAATAGCGCCAAGATCTCATGGCTTTCCTCCCTCTTGTTTTGGCTAAAATCGGATGCATGTACCAGTGAAAAGCAAGACTATAATGTTGTGTTAAAGCAATATCACAGTGCTGGGGTATACTTCAGACGCAAGCCAAATCTTCATTCAAACCATTTTAGAAACCCTTGGAATACCCTGAACTCTGAGTATTGGCAGCTTGGCTCTATTGATTTTATTGTTCATTCAATCTAAGTGGGCTTCTGCATGATGAATAGAGGGCTTGCTTTTGAGCTACCGGGCTGTGTCAGTTAGCCAAGAACCCAGGACACCGGAACTTAGGCACGGAACAGAGCCGAACAGATTTCTGCATCTCAGATGCCGTCAGACCTGTATATAGGAAAAGAAGAAACCACTTTCCCTTTGCAGTGGGCTGCATCTTGTATGTGTCCTTGTAAAATACTCCCCCACCCTCCCTCATGAGAACTCTAACATAGCCTCTATGGCTACTCAGCAAGATCTCTCTCTCTCTCTCTCTCTCTCTCTCTCTCTCTCTGTGTGTGTGTGTGTTGGAGGGGGTGTCACTATAGTGACCGAAGAAGCCTGATGCAGTTAGAGGGAGACAGAAACAGCAGGAAGAGTGTTATGAGCCTGGTAGATTGCTGCAAGCCTTTTAGAAAGGCTTCCTTTGAGTGAGAAAAACAGAGACAAGTGAAGAGAACTGCTGCGGTGTTGAAGAGCCAACCGCACTCCTGACTTCCTGTCAAATGTCTTTTCTGTGACTTTCAGGTGATCGCCAGTATAACCATCCGATCTTAAGCAGTGCTACCCAGACCCCTACGCACGGTGAGAGCTGATTGAGCGCGCCCTGCATCCCACCTGCATGCCAAGTGGCTCCATTCTAAGGAGAGGAGAAGGCGGTGGAACCATGCCCCTGCCCTTCTCCAGGCCACACAGCTTCCCTCTTCCTTTGAGACCATTGTCCCCTGGGTGTGTTTGTCTTTGACATCAGAGTGGGAGACCCTTTCCCAACCCATTTAATACGCACTCTCTGTCACTCCTTGGGTTCACAGATTCCATCTGTTTGTAGCAAGCAGATTAATGTTCTCCTTTGCCCAGAGCCACTCTGGATCATTTGCAAATGAAACAAGACTTGGTTGGGCTTTATTCTCTGGACAGAGAAGAAGTTGGCAGTTGTCCATCAGAGGGGTGTTAGCAAAGAAACCGTGTGTGTAGCAGGGCCACCTTGCCCTGTCAGGTTCTAATGTCCTCCCAGAAGACCACATCTCAACATCTGGAAACCCAAATAAAAATAATTTGGAGTCTCTCTCAAAACTCAGTGGAACATAGGACAGCAGTATAAACTGTGACCTGTCCATCATTTTTGTCTCTTCATTAAAAGTTTAATAATTTAATAATTATAACCAATAGATGTTTCCCAAGAGGCACACTCAACACAAAGATAAACCCGAAGTCATGTCTGATGGTGTACAGACTTAGACTTACAATCTCATGTACTAAGGAAAATGATTCAGGAGGATTGCAAACTCGAGACCTGTTTGGGGTAGAGTTAGTTCAAGGCCAACCTGGAGAACTCAGTGAGCTAGTGTCTCAAAACAAAAACAAAACCTAGGGGTATAGGTTAATGGTAGCACATTTGCCTCACATGCACAAGACCAGTGTTTACCCTCCATATTTCAAGAGAAAAATAAGATAAACTGAGCAACTCACCTGGCAATGGGATTACTACTCTCAAGTCATATAGTACAGCACCTTAGCACCGAAGTGGAGCACATCTGGATGAGGAAGAGGGAATGGGGTGTTTCGAAATACCCTTCCAGTGCTGTGGGACACCTGTCATGAGAGCAGGACCATAATTGGATGTTTCTGGGTGTAACATCTAAGAAAACAAAGAACTGAGAAATTGTAGGGATTAGTTAAAGAGGGTGATGCCAGCTGTAACACTGATGGTGGGGACAATAAGAAAGACTGAGAGCTGGAACACATTGAAGTAAGAATTGAGAAAATGTGGTCACTCAAAATTTATACCTCGATGAGAACCAATAAAGACTGGAATGGAGATCCAAGAGTATTTGGAAGAGTGGAGGCTTGGCTGTGGATTCTATCCAAGGAATAAGAAAAACAGTCAGCGGGCAGGAATGGAATTGGTGATAGGGAATTTAAATCTGAACTTACAGAATTTGCTATGACTGTGGAAGATACAAGAAAAACATCCCATAGGTAGCTTAAAGTTGGAGCTAAGATGTACTTAGTAATCGTTAAGGAAGTAACAGAAGATTTGAAAGTAGGGGATATCCATGCAAGAATTCTGAAAAAGGAAAGCAGAAGGCAGAGGAAGAGCTGAGGGTATGCTGTCATGATTAGGAAGTGGGAAGAGAAGCCAGAAAAGGCAGACAAGGAAAGCCCCCACTTGTTCAGTAACGTTCTGGAATGAACAACCACTGAGCTGAGCCTCCTGAGCAAGAGCCAGTACAAGCATAGACTCTTGAGTACAAACAGAAGGGCTGTTCCCTACTCCTCCTCTTCCTGTCTTCTCTCTCTCTTCCAGCTGGTATAAGGAATTGGGATAGAGAGGCCCCCGTTCCTGTCCTTAGGCAGCTTGTGACACAGTTAAGTAGAGCTTGCCTGCATTCCTTTCTTTGGTGGTACCCTTTCCCGTCAAGGAATTAGTAGAACAATTAGGGGAGCAGGAAGGGCCTACATCTATAGGATCAACCAAAGGGCACTAACTAGATCCTGAGTTTGGGCCATGCAACATGAGAGAGACAGGGAAATTAGAAAGCAGGCCTACTGGTGCAAAGATCTCTAAGGTCACTTGAGATGAACAAGACCAAGTCATGTCAAAGCATTAAAGACCTGTGAGATACGAAGCGGAGTGTAACCGACAGAAGGGAGATGGTAGATGGAAGAGCAGGTATCATTGAGGACTGGCCAAACAGAATGAAGTCACAGTCACCAGCCTTTAGTTAAGGGAAAATGTGATAGAGGACAAATAAAGCATCTCAATAGGAGACAAGCTTAATCGGGGGAGTAGGGAACTCAGGCAAACACAGTTAGCACAAAAGGCAAGGCGGTCTTGACTCAGTGGGAATTTCAGGATAAGCAGTAGATGACATTATGTGGATCTATCACATTTGGAGGGGGACACTGAGCGATGACCTCAGTGGGAGTAAGGTGCCAAGAAGCAGAGGGAGCCCTGTTCTTCTCCAGTGTGGGGAGAAGTGAAGAAACAAGTGCGGATTGCTGGTAATTAACCAAGGGAGCAGCGCTCTCCATTCCGTGCCCACTCTACCTCCTGGCATGTGTCCTGGCCCATGCCAGGGAGGCTCTCTCCGTACAGCATGTTCTGATCTCTTGGGATACAGAGCATCCTTCACCCCCTCACATATGCACGAAGCTGGCGCAAACACCAGCTTATTGGCTGAAATCCCCTGGCTCAATCCCCAGTTCTGGGGGTGACAATGCAGGCATGGAAAGAGAGAAGCCAGGAGTTCCCATGCCTGGGGCAATCCTTGGATACAGCTTAGGGACAATGGGATTCTTGTGGTCTATAGTGTAATGCTTTCTGGCAAGAGGTATAGAAAACCGTAACATCTATCCCAACTTGGAGCCTGCGCTTCTTAGAACATCTTTGACTTTAAGGAGTCCCAGACAAAGAGGATGGATGAATGGTACAGACAGACTCCTATTTTCTCGCTACATCATTTCTGGGAATGGTATCACTATCTCCCTGGAAACCAACTGTTGACTTCTTTTTATGGCTCCTCCTCTCATGTCAATCAAGCATTAAGGCATTGTGTCTCCTTCCCCCGGACCTCCATTCCCTTCAGACCCCCATGCTCCCTGCTTCCTCCCTCATCCTTTCTCCTCTCATATGCTTATCCTAATCTTTGCTCCACAGCCCACTCAGCATGAGTATACCAGCATCAGCTGTTCACCCTCTCCATTCCTTCCTTGACTCTTTCCCTGGGCCTGACAATGAACCACACTCCGTTGTGTCTCTGCTAACTTTGGAATCTTGGGGTCTATCTCAGGGAAAATGAGAGAAAAGAGGAAAGACATGATAAACAGATTTTGCTCAAGTTTTTCCTTCTGGGGGCTTAGAAATTACTAAGACAGTCTCTGAGAAGGGGCTTAAAGTAAGTAACCGTGGCTGTGTGGCTCACAGAGGCTTATCAAGTGTGGAGCATAGAGAGGCCCAAGGGGGCTGCCCCAAAGATGCATGGCACCATGGGTTGAATGTGGATTGAAACTACAATGGAGTTGGGTTCTGTCTCCAGCTCCTCCCTGGGCACCAGAGTTGCTCTAAAGTCAGACTGACCAACTAGCAGAATGGGTCAGCCTACAGCTACATCCATGTAGACATGGATGCTTTTATGATCCATGTAGTCTTAGTTGGGGTTCCTATTGCTGAGATAAAACACCACAAACAAAAAAAAAGTGGGGAAGGAAAGGGTTCGTTTAGCTTACACTTCCACATCATAGCCCCTCACTGAAGGAAGTCAGGACAGGAAGTAGATGGGAAATCTGGAGCAAGAACAGAAGCAGAAGCCAATGAGGAGTACTACTTACTGGGTTTACTGGCTTGCTCTTTCGTGGCTTGCTCAACCTGCTTTCCTATACCATCTAGGGCGATAGACCCAAAGAGGGCACTGCTCCCAGTGAGACAGACCCTCCTACATCAATCACCAATCAAAAAAAAAAAAAGAAAGAAAGAAAAAAAGAAAAAACACCCCACAGACTTGCCCTCAGGCACCTTCTGAATTTTAGTCTCTCTTCCCATGTTACTCTACCTTGTGTCAAGTTGACAAAAGGCTAGCCAGGACAATGCTCTTTCATTGCACCTGGGTCAGTTTTCATCAGACAGACCAGTGATGTACCCGGAGAAAGTTGTTGAGTGTCCGAGTTGAATCCTCAGGGACTGATCAGTAGTCATGGTAGCCAGAGGAAGCTAAGATGGTTCCTTCCCTCAGAATTGTTGACAAAAGGAAAGAGAGCAGGGACAGACCACACACACACACACACACACACACACACACACACACATTGAGTCTTAGCACTTCCTCCTGGGTCCTAGCACAAGAAAGCAGGAAGGGGTCTTTAGTGCGGGATGGAGCATAACAGGGAGAGGAAACTTGAACACCCTGGCCTCAGCTATTTCCACCTTTATGTTCGCTAACGCCATGCCCTTCCTTTGCAGAGAAGCCCCGGATGAACAACATCCTGACGTCGGCCACCGAACCCTACGATCTGTCCTTCTCACGTTCTTTCCAGAACTTAGCCCACTTGCCTCCATCATATGAATCTGCTGTGAAGACCAATCCGAGCAAGTACTCATCTCTGAAGAGGCTAAGTAAGTCAAGGCTGCCTGGGGTTGAGGTCCGTCTCCCAGGTCCCCAAGTCATCCTCCTCCGTATCGCTCTCTTGTCCCATACCCAGGGGACCAGGTGTAGCATCCCAAGAACAAGGAATGGGTTGTACATAGGATGAAGAAATAAACAGAACTCTTTCTTCTGGTCCCCTGTCCTAGTTAAGAATGATGCTGTAGGACCCTGAGGTTCCCCTCCTCTATAAGCTGTACTTACCACTCATGTACCAGCTTGCCACTGGCCTGTTTCAAGCCATGGGCCTTCCTGCGTGTCATTCCTTGAGAAAGAGGTACCAAGGGCCCAAAGAACCATTCTAACCCAGCCAAGACCATCCCAAGGACCTGAGCCTCCACACTTCTTAAGTTCTTACTTCCATTTTATAACTTAGGTCTAGTTTATCCAGGGATTCCCCTCTGCTGTGTGAGTCTGAAATGGCTATTGGCATTGATAGGTTTAATGCATTCAAATGTCAAGAAAGTACATTTAGGAACATTTTTCTTCCCTGACCCGATCCTTATAACTTCCTCTCATTACCCTATGAATGAGTCAATACCCCCTGCCCGTGTATGTGTGTGTGCACTGGTGTGTTTGTGTGTGTGTGCGTGCGTTCGTGCATGCTTGTGTGTGTGAGTGAGTGTTTGTGAATTGGGGATACTACACAGGGCCCTGTATATTCTAGGCAAGCATTTGACCCCTGACCTACATCTCCAGTCCTATAAGTCATGTTTGATGGCTGCCCAACTTCAGTTAGCGTGTTCCATAGCTGAGTGGGCATGTACTTCAAGTTTCAGGGTGCCTCACTGTGATAGAGGCTCAGCCTAAGTCCATCTCAGCCATCTACAGAGAAATGCTGAGTTTCTTTGGCAACACGGGAGCATCTCTGACCATCTGAGAGGTCTAATGGATGCTTGGCAATGAAAGAATGGGGTTCAGTTGGCAGGACAGTCCCCACACCAACCCTGAGCCCACTGAGGGGCAAGTAGCTTCCCACACTAGGCAATGAGTCCCAAAAGCTGTCTGAAGGAGGCCTCCTTACTGAAATCTGGGACAATGCAGCCTTGTATGTGCCCTGGAAAAAGTCAAGGATCCATAGTGCAATTCTGGAAGAGCATACTAGGACAGGAACTCTGAGCATCTAAGCAAGATGCACGCACAATTTTGCTACAGCCTGCTGCCTGGTGGGCACAGGGAGTAAGTGTAGGCTGATGATATGGCTGTGGGGGCTGGATGCCCATGTGCTGGTTTCCTGTACATTGGTTGTTACTCCAGAGAAGGTGTTACTAGGTTCCTAGGTTACCAGTGAAGCGTTCCACAAACGCTTCATCCTAGACACACATCCTATTTTATTCTAACAAAACCTGATTCCGTGCCCAGTTTTCATAAAGTAGTGCTATAGATATCATCTGAAGGCTGTCAACTCTACCTGGGCATTTTAGCAAAACCAGGAACCATTCTTCTTCAGAACCACATGCAGTAGATGCAGCAGGCAAGCCACAGGAATGCCTTGGGCTTGCCATCAGCTCCACCGTGAGCTGGGTTGGGAAGTCATTTAACTGTTCCCCAAGGTGGTTTCTGAAAAAGAAACAGAATCTGAGGGCCCACTGGAGATACAGACCCTGGGGTGCAAGCAGTTAGTACCCCTGAATCAGAATCCACCTTTCACAAGCCCTTAAGGATTCCTTTGTGTGTGCAGTGGAGGAGGGAGTTAAGGTCACCTGTCGAAAGTCCTGCCCCCCACCCCTCACCTACTCTCCTAACAAAAGGCTTTTGGTCTGGTTATCCTTGAAGATCTCCAGGTCTGTGGTTGAGGAAGAGGTGCTCGCGCACACCTACCTACCTTACTCCCTGAGGCTGCCCCATCTCCCTACTTCCTTCTCTCTCTTGTCTTACAGCTGACAAGGAAGCTGATGAGTATTACATGAGGCGGAGGCACCTTCCAGACCTCGCAGCCCGTGGCACCCTCCCCCTCAACGTCATCCAGATGTCTCAACAGAAGCCGCTGCCTCGAGAACGGCCACGCAGGCCCATCAGGGCCATGTCCCAGGACAGGGTCCTGTCCCCACAGCGGGGCTTGCCTGATGAATTTGGCATGCCCTATGACCGAATCTTGTCTGATGAACAGCTGCTCTCCACAGAGCGCCTGCACTCCCAGGACCCGTTGCTGTCTCCAGAGCGGACGGCCTTCCCAGAGCAATCGCTGTCGCGGGCCATCTCGCACACGGACGTCTTTGTGTCCACGCCAGTGCTGGACCGCTACCGTATGACCAAGATGCACTCCCATCCCAGTGCCTCCAATAACTCCTATGCCACCCTGGGCCAGAGCCAGACGGCAGCCAAGCGCCATGCCTTTGCTTCCCGCAGACACAACACGGTGGAGCAACTGCACTATATCCCGGGCCATCACACCTGCTACACAGCCAGCAAGACCGAAGTGACCGTGTGACCGGCAGCGTGGCCGGGCTGCTTGGCAGAGCGAGGGCAGGACAGAGCAGAGCAGGGCAGGGATGAGGAGCACAGAGTCCAGCCTTGCTCTCCTCTCCTCCCCTCCCCGGTTCCCCCTATTGGAACTGGAGGTGGGCTGCCTTTGTCCAGAAAGCCATACCCCCCCAGGGACATGGCGCCAATGCCTGGTCCAACAAGCACAGACCCAGGCTATAGAGCTCTTTCTCTCCCAGTAGAATCCTCCCCGTTGCGAATGAGAAGAGTGGTAAGGCCCCAGTCTTTCCTACCACCCGCGCCACTCCCTCAGTCCCCGCCCCCGCCCCGCCCCCATCCCTTCCTGGAGACTCAATCGCAGGTTCTTCCAGCCGGTGGACCCTCCCCGCGAAGGTAAATCCGAAGCTGCCTGAGTTTGAACAGCCAGCCGGCCGGCCAGCGGGTGCAGTCAGTGGGCTGACCGAATAGGCTACTCGGTCTCCTTCCTGTATCTAGAACCGCATCACAGAAATCTCTTAGTGCCTAAAAACTGCCTGCTCGCTCTCAGCCAGAGAGCTGCTGTGTCCATAAGCACAATACGATTCTCTTCTGCCTGCTGGAACTCTGGTCTCTACCGAGCGGCCCCTCCCTCGCTGAGCCCTGCAGCCCCCAAACAGGAAGGGTCCTCTTCCTTTAGCTGCTTGGTTGCCGCTGCCTCTGTACTGTGGGGGCTGTGCTCTCCCAGCCTTCACTGTTTCTCCTCAAACCTCCCTGGGGCTTTTTAGCTCTTGCCCCCCAGAGAGGAGTAGCGATGGGTTGCCAGGACTTTAGAAGTGCCTTGGCAGCCATTTGATCGTCTCCCCACTCCCTCCAGGCCACTGGGTCTGAACTAGGACCTCCTCTCAGGCCTGCCTTCTTCACCCGCGCTCTGCTCCCAGGAGGCATCTGCAGCAGGCAGAGAGCTAGGGTGGGGAGGGCCACTGTGATGCCCAAGATCTCAGGGGCTCACCATTCCCATTTTCTAGGGCTCTGTCTGTCCCCCACCCATGAGCCTCAGGCAGGATGGAAAAAGTTTCCAGACAGAAGCAGCTTAGCCGGTGAACAGGCAGGAGCTCTCTGACGTGGTCATGCCGGATCCTGTGCACGCCTTTCCACCAGCCCCCCCCCCGCACCGCGCCCCCTCCGCAACCTTTTTCTGTTTAGAACTCATTCTCTCTTCCTGTGTTCCCTCTCCCACCTACCTCCCCACCTCACCCCCTGCAGCTCCGTTACTTTCCTCAAACCAGTGGATCCAAGGAATCAAGACCAATTGACAGATGCAAATAAATATAATGGTGTCCCAGGATGTTGTTCTGGGGCCACATCAACCCCTCCTCCTTGCAGGGGTACTTGGGCACATGGTAGGGGCTCCTGGCAGCTCCACTGCCCGCCCACCTCAGCCCCCTCTTTGCCTCCAGTCTGAAGGTGGACAATGTGTGACCAACTACTGGGAAACTATAAATGAGAGCAATCCCGCTCCTCCATGATTAGGAGGAGTTCGTCCCACCCCCAAGGGTCAGGGCCCCTTTCTGGTCTGGGACTGGGAAGAATCAGCCCAAGACTGCTGGTGGAGTGACCTAAGAAGCAGAACCATCGCTTACCAGACTCCAACAGCAACGTCCAAAAGTCAGATTTTATGTCCCCTCAGTTCTGCATGGATATTGCCCTTAAAAAGCAAGGTGGTAAGAAATTTGTATTTGTCCTGGTCATTTTTAATCTAGCCAAGTCTACTTCTTCTTCATGAAGAAGTCCGTGGGCTGCTTCCCCTTACTGCTTTGAAGAGCTGTAAGTTTTCCTACACCCTTCCCCATAATGTCCCCTCTGTGAGAGCAGGAGTGTTCTTCAGAACCCGGAAGGATGGAAGCTGGAGTTTCCAAAGACAGGCCTTAGCTTCCCCACTGCCTGGGTATCTCTGGGACCATGGGGCCAGGAGTTCCCTGGTCCCTGCTCTTTCCTCCCTACAAACACATAAACCTTCCTAAGGGCTGGTTCCCATGGGTCTATGAGCTTTGGTTGCAGAAGGTAAGGCTCACGGGAAGAGAAGAACTCACTCCAATAGAGAGTAGCTCGCTTCCAGAAGCAAAGGCATGTCCTACAACTGGCACCCAGCCCAGTCCCCTGTAACTCTCTGACCCTTAGCTAGCCCCTTTAAAGGCTGTGTGCTGGTGGAGAGCCGAAAGGTTGAGATTGTGGTAGGCGAGAATCCCCTCCCAGGTGTCTGGACATCCCCTGGAGAATCTTCCAGATGGCTATTTAATTCTCTACACCTTGGGGAACAAAATCTTACCCCAGGCTCTTTCCCCACCTTGGCGCTGGCAAAAGCGTCTGTCTGTCTATCTTCCTCTCTGTCTGTCTGTCTGTCTCAGGGGTTGTTTTTTCAAACTTATTAGTTGATTTCAAATGATTTCTCATCCCTGCCTTACCATCTTCTGGTATAAAATAACTGACATCGGTTACGTCAGAACGCTTGCTTCTCCCGAAGGCTTTATCTTCGGCTTCATGCTCGGAAGGAGAGGCATAGTAACAGAGACAGAAGTCTACAGACTAGTCTGATCCAGTTCCCTACTCCAAACTCCGGAAAACTGTGTCTTAACTACGACATGGAAATACACAACCCCTCCTCCAGTTTTGCATGACTCGTTTAAATTACCTATAGTCAACCATGATCCAGAAATAGTAACATTTGTCATAACCCTTTTGAGAGCGTCCACAATCGCATAGCTTTTATTACGGTATATTCTTATAACTTGTCCTATTTTATTGTCAATCTCTTGCTGTGCCTAATTTACAAATCAAACTTTATTGTATGTGTATGTATATGAAGAAAACATAAAACACATAGAGAGTCTCGTACTATGTGTGGTTTCAGGCACTCATCGGGATTGGTGGAGCTTATCCCTCGGTGATAAGGGAAAACCACTAGATCCCGTCAACTCACCCATCACTCCAGAAACAGCGAGCTATTTGGCTATATGAACTCACTTGAGAGTGTCTGGGGCTGGAACCCAGATGTCACTGTTTCTAGCCCAAGCAGGCTGGTGTTCTCTGTCACACGTAGAAGGGTCATGGCTCCCTCATGATAAACACTCATATTCCAAGCAAAGGAAACTTAAGATTTCCCTCTGTCTGTTTTGTTCCTTTGTGCATGTCTCTACTGCCCTAGACTGGGTGTGTCCAGGTCTTATTTGCCCCAAGTGTTCTTCCTGAAGGTTTCTCACCACCCCTGTCCTTCCAGTGTTCCTTTCCCACTTCCTCCAGTGAACTCATGACTCCACCTATTCGTGAGCCACAAAATTCCTTAACCTCCTAACTGGACTTTGATCTTCAGAATTCCCCCAGTTTCTTAGGCAATGTGTTTCCCTTAAGAAGCTCCAGTCCTTTTCCCAGCTAAAATCTCTCCCTTTCTTTCCTCTCTCACTCCTAGCCTTCAAAGCCAGTTTCCTCTGGCCTTCCCGCCATTTCCCTCTCCACTCATCAACCTTCCTCCAGTCCTAGTTTCGTTCGCCTGGACCTGCTGAAATCTCTAGTTTTGACAATTGGAGCTCTTGATGTAAACTGTGGAGGATTCTTGACATTCTTTGAGTCCTTCGTTTGCCTCGTTGGCTTGTTACACTTCCTCACATGGAAAATGATGCCCCAAGGGGTGAAGCCCTGGGGCTCCCCCATCCCTCTGATCTCCGAAAGGGAAGGGAGAGAGCTGCCTGATCAGAGGTACCATGGCCAAAAGATCAGCTTTGATTCCTGCAGCTACCAGATTCAAGAAGCTCTTGACTCAGACTGCTGCTTGTCCAGAGTCTTCTGCGCTGGCCAAAGATCCATCCCCTTTGATGCCTGTAGCTCTTGTTCTGTTCCAACACCTTCTTCTAGTGAACATCACAGCTTTCCCTTCATCCAAAGACATGACTCGTAAGTCTTCAAGGATGGAGGAGCAGTCATCCCAACATCGCTGCCACCAAACTCAATCCATTGCCTTGGGAGAGCTCTTAGCTGTCATCTTCTTCAGCTCTCATTCCTTCCACAGATGTCTGTGGACTGGACCCAGTATCATAGTTTGGAAGGGCTGCCCATCATTTGGGCCCTAGAAGGCGCTTGCTCTGAGAGGAGCCAGCACTTTAGCTCCCACACACATTCCCTTGCCATCCTCTCTGAATCTGAGGAACTGTGAAATGTTTCCAGGAGGCTTGCTGTGCTTTAACGAAGTATTTTCAGGACGTAGGAGTTATTTTTATAAGTGATGCATTTTGATGCTAGGTTTAACATGAAAGACAAAATCTTTCTGACCCCTCTCTTTGATTTTGGAAAGTGGCATATCAGAGAGAGAGGAGGCGGGGGGGAATCAAGGCTCCAGAAACATGGCTTCTAGGTCTGGCTTTTGTCTACATCTTGCCATGTGACTAATGGGCAAGTCACATTCCAGTTCAGTGCCTCAGTTTCCCCACCAATAAAATGAGGGGTTTTGACTAGATGAGTCCCCAAAGTTTCATTCAGCTTTAGGGTTTTCATTCTCTTTCTTCATTTCTACATTCCTTTCCCTTTTCTACATTCATCCCCACTTGAACTGAGCTGCACCCATCACGCTCTGCCTGCCCTGTGGCAGCATCCTCAGAAGCCCTAGACAGTCACCAGACTCCTCGCCAGATGCTGGGTGGAAGGAACCAATGGACTCAGTCACACATGGATACTCTTGTTTCTGAAAGTTAAGGCCTGACCACTCAACAGGTCGCCAACCGTGTGTCTCAGAAGCCTCTCATATAAACATACCTAAACCACCTGAGTGTCTGTTGCTGCGACATTCTGAGTTCGGAGTTTTCATTTCTGATGTCCTTATAGCTGGAGGGAGGGAACTCTACTTTCAGAGAGGGGACAAGCTGAAAGAAAAGGGTCTAGATGTCTGATCGTGACATTTGGGCACAGAGTTTGTATTTAAGATCAGATGAGATATTTGTTCCATGTCTCAAAGGAGCACGCTTGGCAGAGGCTCTGTGTGACAAGGGGTGCCATTATACCCCATGCCACAGCGTGCATCCTGAAGACCACGTCAGGATGCTGAAACTCCATCCCAACAGCAAAGGACGAGGCATCACCACCTGGGTTGCTGGGAGACGGGTTCTCACCCCATCCCAGTATCTTTGTGGCCCCTCTTTGTGATACTATCCTCCTCCCCATGAAGGCTTGTGAAGCACCAATGGAAATTCCAAGTCCCCATCGTCTAACCCGTCTTGTAAATCGCAAACACATTAATTAACCTTCCATCATTCAGAAAAATAATGCTGTGTGTTTGCTTGACAGCCTCCCTTGTGTGGGAGGAGAAGACCCTGCTCAGCTTTGCTGCCAGCCCTCCAACGACCCTCAAATGCCACTCCATCAAGAGGACCCATTCATTTGCTTCGTAGTGGCCAAAGACATCTCTAGTCCTGTAAACTCAACTAGATGTTTTGTAGTAAAGAATTCTTGAAATTCTCTAATAAAAGGCAATTCTTACTGTAACATTTTTAGTTGGGGAACACAATTTCCTAAGGGGGGGTTAAGGAACATTTTTACTCGTTAGCTGGATTTATGGATTCTATGTTTATTATATGGAAGCATTATGAAAAGTACCTTTCTATCCGTACCTCTGCAGTTTCTCCATCACTCACATGAACCCTTCCCAATGAGCAGTGCCCCCAGTTACTGCTTCTGTACAAATCTCATCATTCTCCTTCGCTGTCAAAGCACACCCTACATGTACTGTACACAGAGATTGCTTTAGTGAGATTTAGTCTTAAGGATTTTTTTCCACTTTTGTCAGTAACAGATATTTATGGATTAAAAGAATAAAGCTGTTTCAACATAACCTGTGTGTCTTAAAGTAGCTGCATGCTTATAGAGTTAAAACCAAGGTCGTGCCAAAAAGCAAGGAAAGATACAGGAGATCACTGTGGTCAAGAGAGGGAACAAGGATTGACCACAGACAGTTGCTAGGGAACTTTAGGTGTGATGGGATGATCTCAAAGCAGATGTGGCCAAGCTCAGTGGTACACATCTGTAATCCTGGAACTCAGGAGAATGACGCACGAGGATTATGTGTTTGATACCAACCTGGCCTACATACCAAAATGTTGTCTCAAAAAAACAAAACAAAACAGAACAAAAACCAACAAATCAAATCTATATTTTGGTGGTGTTTGTGGAACTACATAAATTAATGGAAATCACCAAAGTGCAGATGTACAACTGTCCTATGGTATAGTACACAAAACAAACTTTTATAAAATGGGAAAGAGGAACGGAGAGGTAAACCCAGGATTCTGTGCCACCTGAGAGCAGAGCTGAATTTTCCAGCACTGTCTAAACACATCTCCTCCAGCGCCATTATTCTTAGATATTGGGTCTCAGATTTATTTTCGCATTAGTTGCCATGGCTGAGCAGATTAAAGGTGGCTAAAGATCCATGACACTTAACCCAGAACATCAAAAGCTGCACAATGAAAACTGATTCAGATTTGCAGCTTTGTTCCAGGCTCTCTTTCTCTGGATGTGGCTTTGATATTATTTTCTTTGGCCTACGCTCACGTCGTTGCTAAGGTTATTTGTTGATCACCAGAACCTAGAAACAGGCCGAACAAACAAAATTCTGCCCAGGAGAGCATTTATCCTACCCCCACGGGGCAGTGTCTCTGTAGTTTCTAGAACCCAAGGTTCAGCATACTCTCTTCCCAACCTTCAATGCTCCTGTAATCAAATCCTTCTTATTGGAGGCACTGAGCTGATATTTTAAATCCTAAACCAGACTTCGTGGTACAGGTCAACAAATCTCAAGTACTCAGAAAGCTGGAGCAAGAGGATCAGAAGTGAGTTCAAAGACAGCCTGAGCTACTTGAGACGTCTCAACCTAAGTCATCTCAATAGTGAGTAATAATTAATCAATTAACTAATTGATTAATTAATTGGCTAAGGCCATACCTCATTGATGATAGGGCATTTAGTTATCATGCACAGTGCCCATAGTGTCAACCCTCAGTCCTTCAAGGAAGTCCTCTTATTCTCTATTTCCAAGGGGCTTTGTTCTCTTGAAGTCAGCACAGCATTGGTAACTTTTCCTACACATGATAACACATACTCCAGAATAGGTCCACACATCATGGCGCTCACCATTGAAGAGCCATGTCTTTTCTAAGCTGGTCTCTCCAATGCAGGACTACTCATAGCAAGTGCACACACGCACCGGCACATCACGCATATAGAAACCCTTGGAGTCTACATTCATCACTAAGAGGAAATGATGAAGACAAATTTCTTGATTGGAGGATTTCTTAAAACTTAAATTTAACCTTAATGCTTACAAATAATGACTAAATTATACTAATAGATAGTCTTCAAAAGAAACTTTCAGGAGACCTCCCTTATTGAACAAACAAAAACAATATGGATTACAATTAAAAAACACATTCAAAGCCTGACCTCTCTTTCTTTTTTCCATCCATCCTTCCTTCCTGCCTGCCTCCCTTCTTTCCTTCCTTTCATTACAGTGTCATGCTGTGGCCCAAGGCAGACAAGCATGGAACTCGCCAGCAGTCCACTGACTGAACTTGGATTCTTCCTGTCTGGACTTCCTGAGTGCTAGGATTACATCTCTCAGCCTCTTTAAAGCTCAGTTTTCTTATTTAAACCAAAACCAGAGATTCTATAAGCCAGTCAATCACTCTGAAATGCCTTTTTATCACATTATTCTCTATTTCTATAGCTTCGCTTAAACTTTTCAGGAAATGGTAATTAGTGAAGGGGAGAGTGAAAGAGGAGAGAGACAGACAGACAGACAGAGAGGAGAGAGCTCATAATACTTACTAGACAGGATCTTCATCTTGTTAGCATATCTGCCCCTTATATCAAAATGATGGCAGCCAAGGATGGTGATATTAAATAAGACTTTGAGGGAAAAAAGTCTCTTTTGTTTGACTTAAACTTTATGTCATTGTCATTGGCGGTACTGGACGCTGAACTAAGGTTCATCCTAATGCTAAGCCAACAGTGTCACACCATGTCACAGCCCCCCATATCTTTTTCATTTTTATTTTGAGAAAGGATCTCACTAAGTTACCCAGCCTATCCTTGAGCTCACTCTATCACTCAGTCTTAGAAAGCAAGCTTAGCTGTGGTTTAGAAACACAAGGAGAAGGTGTTGTTTTGGCCATTTAACCTCCAGCCTTAATCCCAGTTCCAAATCTAAGTTCCAGTGACAATAGCCGCTGTGGCATGCCGAGAGTCTTAAACTCTCATTCTCCATGAGTGGCTTTTGAAGTCTCTCCTTTGGGTCACATAGAGAGCTATTTCCATGAGTCTGTCATAGCAGTCATGGCAACGATGTTCTTTTCTCCATAAAGAATCTTGGCCCACATACTGGACTCCACTTTAGACTTTTAGAAAACAAAACCCCATTGTTCCTCTAAGTGGGGCCCATCAGTATCCCCAGGCCCACAATAGAATGTGTATACCTAGAACTCATGCCAGCCTTTTCCCGTCAAAATTCCTGGTGGTAGGTCCCAAGGATTTGTATGAAACAAGATCCCCCACGTGACTCTATATATGTTCAATATTGAGAAGCAGGCCATTTTGACTTTTCCTGTATCAGCTTTGAACGTATATGACCACTTGAAAAGAATGGCGTTTAGTTCTGGGGTCCAGGGTGACCTTGGTTTATGTAGCAGGATGATTTTAGGGAACCAACTTCAGTGAACAAATCAAAATGAAAATGAACTTTGAAGAGACAACTGTTCAAGAAATGGAGAAAAAACTGAGGCTCGGTGTACCAACTACCCATAGAAAGTTTAAAATAAGAGAAACTGTGTTGACTTTTCAAGACAGCCTTGTAAAGGTAAATAGGAAGCTTCAGGATCACCCACATATGACAATGTGTGAGATGCAGAAAGAAGGCCAGGGATGCGGGTGTAGACACAGGCATAGGAGGAAGGCTGGGACCCGTAGGACCTGTTCCTCTTGTGTTTCTTGGGAAGTAGGGTGGCAGTCATTGTGAAGAGAGAAAGGACAGCCCAGGAGGGCTTCTTGGAGAATTCCAGTCATAGCGCGTGAGGAGAAGACTCCAAGAGGGCTGGCAATGCTGAAGCAGTATTGCTGAAACTTACTGCAAACACCATCGGATAATTTTCACCCCCCTCTGCCACTGGGCTTCTGCAGTGCTTTCTCAGCCTTAATCAGAGCCCAGAAATAGATGGGGCAGCCACTACCAACACCATTTCTTGTCACAGGGCAAAGAAAAAAACTAGGTCTAGTAAAGACTATTAAGTGGCAATCTAGAGTGACATGTCTCATTTCTACTCATGTCTTTTTGTCTGGGACTGGCTATATGGTCCTACCCCACCATAACAGAGCCAAGACGTAGATTCTACTGTGTTCTAGGAAGACAGAGAGTGGAAAACATGGAGCAAGTAGCACTGAAGACCGCCGTGGTGGGCACACTGTGCTGTGGGATAAGGGCTGGGTATTTACAGAGGCAACTACGCCTTCCGTTACTATAACAAAACCCTCAGAGTATTTTAAAGGCAGACATAGTTCTCTGTATCTGATTTACTACATCCAGAGTTTGGTCCAATTTTATTCCAACTTGGTTTCTGAATGTCTTATTCAGGAGTCATTTGACAGTAAGAAATAAAAAAAAATTACTCAAATTAGTTGAGGCAAATAATGAGAATTTTATCACTATTTATTATCAACATAGGCTATAAAAACTGCTCATAAAACACTAGGCATAAAACCTCATAAATGCTAGAACTTTCCTCCATTCAGCCCATGACAGCATCCTTCCTCCCACTTCCAGTCCAAGCACTCTTGTCTCCCCAACTCCACAAATTTCCAATTTTTCTTGCATATGGCTCTTTTCTCAAATGGTTATTCTAAGCCGAAATGATATCTTCAGTAATTAAGCCTCAGCCCCCTTTCCTGGCCAGCACTTACGACTAACTGACTCAAGTTCTGTCTCTAAATTCCAAAATTGCTGGGCGGAAGCACAAAAGGCTCTATGACTCACTTAGTGTGCCCATTTCCCATGATTTCAAATCAAAGTCTCCACCCCCCCTCTTTTTACACTGAGGAACGAAACCAAGGCCACATGCCAGGCAAGGATGTGACCTCTGAACTACAACCCCAGCCCTTAAATGTCCTAAAATTAGTGGCAGCTGCCTGTTATTGTTAGCATGATTCTGCTCTGCGTCCCTTACGGCAGATGGTGAAGGACTGGAAGAATTATAAAGCCTTCCTCTCTCACCTGTCCAGCTGTTAGGGCTAGCTGTCAGCTAAACCTCAACAGAGGCTTACCATCTAGCCTGGTGACAAGGGTCCTCTGCACAAAGGCTTCCTCACAGCCTGGCAGCTGAGTCCTGATGGCAAGTGTGCAGTGAGGATGCAGGCAGGTGAAATGAACACGGTCACGGTAAGAGGATGAACCTGGCAGTACGTCTGTCCCTTTATATGATGTACTCTCAGAAGTCACATAATATTCTCCGTGAGTCACACACTGGTGAGTTGTGGTCACAGAACACAGGCTATGGCGCGAAGGAAGGGTTACTCAAGGAAAACGTGTTGGTGGAAGCTATTGCTATGCCTGCCTTTGGGAAATAAAATCTACTACACATTGTGTCAAGTGTCTATCCTTGGTACCACAGAAGGGGACACCTGCATCACTTACTCAAAAAATAACTGCAAGCATACATCCCTGAGGATGCTTCAGGAAGTGAAACGGGGGAGAGTTGCAAACCCACACTGAGCAGATATAGAGGGGCATCCTTCGATTGTTGAGAAAATATCCCATCAAAGAGTACCTGATCTTCAGTTCTATCCCGG